TTCTTGTGTGCTAATATGTTATTAGTTTAGCTTCGAGCATCACTAACAGTCCTTTAATTGTCGAAATGCGCATCTGGTGCAGTAGTAGTAGGTGGTGGTGTTAAATGTTCTATACAGACCACACAAACAGTTTTATCTATCTAGAAGGGTATCTATCGCCCTACACACGAACTAATTCCCCGATGTCGAACGGTTTGGCACAAAATGAATTATAATTGGTACATTTGATGTTTTAAGTCCGAATAAGTGTTAAAAATGATTCATAATGATTGACTTTTCAATATATAATTTGTGAATGTCTCAAAATATACGAATAACTGGAGGAACAGATTTTTTATTATTTTTGTATGGAATTTAATATTTATAAATAAAATACACTTAATAAAGTGGGATCTGGAGTAAAGAAAGATAAAAAAAAAGGTTTGGAAAATACCACAAAAAACAGCGGGATTTGGGAAATGAGCACCCCCGTGTCACCTACTCTCAATTCAGGTATGATCTACTAGTGATAGCAACATCTCTTCAAATTACAGCGATGTATTATAGTCTGATTGAGGCACGAATACATCAGTCTACGATAGTTAAAAAACACAGATAATTATGTTCTCGTAGTTGAATGATGTCAACATGGAGGAAAGTCATAAAACGTCATGAAATGAAGATTGCGCAAAAAGAACAGGAAACTGATATATATGTATTTTGTGAATCTTGAAGGTTACAAGATCAAAATTATTTGTTTTCAATTTACCCTATTGAAGATGGTACCCAGAATGATATCTTATGCGACTCCTGGTGCATTGTGATGGGATGATACAAGGTTGTAATTATTTTTAATTGAAAGCTTATCCATCATGTCCATTTAGGTTCTAATAATAAATCCAGAAACGAAATTCATAAAAAAATAAAGAAATATATTCAATGCATTTACGAACTCGTATAGGTCAACTATTGCCGAATTAACATATATTTTTTGTGGCTTTAATACAACGGCACAACGCAGATAAGACCTGAAATATGGAACACAACTGGACCCCAAATACATGCGCTTCTAGTTGCCTAAAGAAGAAGAATGTTGTGAAAGGCAGAACGATAAAAATAACCGACACAAGTTCACACGATTTCGTTGTTGATTATTAGGCGAGTGACTTATTTCAAAAAGACGCTTAGTTAACGACTTTAATGCACCCACCTAACACACGGCTGTATTATATATCATTCGAAAGCTAATAATCTGTACTTTCTGTTTTGTCAGGTCGTAAAAAAATCGTACGGTTCATTTTCTGTTAAATCAAGGTCAAAGGTCATGAAAAAACATTCCAATTTTTGCGATTACTAAACAAAAAGCCATTTCTTCATCACAAATCCTAAAAAAATGAAAAATTGTTCCAAAAGCAAAATATATCTTGGGGGATCGATATTTGTAAAAAAATAGATAAATAATATGTTTTAGGTCAAGGAATATTTGTTTTGTAATTATAAGATGCAATTATTAATTATTGTTCATAGAACAGCCTTCTATTGAAGTGTTTGCAGTTGCCCAAATATCTGCCATCTGCAAATAGCGATAATTTTGTTATTCTATTTTAAGATAGCACATAGCTAATTGTCAATATCAGGGAGGAGAATGATTTTCCATAATAAAAGAAGGGGTATTTAAAGTTCGAAAAGAATATATACGAGCTAATTGAGGTAAAAATATGTTTTTAACGAAGTCAAACTTATTTACTTTTTTAATCATGTATAAATGCAAACATGACTTTGCGACTAAATCGTAGGCAACATTGAAATAAGTAACCTTGTTTAGAAACACTTGGTTGTCTAAAGCGGGATGTAAACGATCTACATGTAATGCTGTGCTTCTTATTTAGTTTAAAATCGTGTTAGACATATTAAATGTGTTTAGAAGTTTAATCTCTTTAATTATTTGAATAAAAGATGCTTCTATGTATCTTTATTCTCACAAACCAAATTTCAAAGGTATAGAGATAGGATTGAGTATTTTCAACATAAGCTTTTAAAATACAAATGCAGGTCATTGTGTATGTAAAACACTATAAGCAGTTGTGAAATAAAAAAATGAAAAAGTTGAATACCTTCCTGACCTCATAAAATCATTCGCTGTTTTAGGCAGTGATCGTTTTCATGCTGTGCTGTGTTTTGTGGACTGTTGTTCGTCTCTTGGACTTTAATTTTATTTTGTTCATGATTTTAATTAAGTTTATTTGATTCATGGTTTGAGATGTTGATTGTCCCTTTGGTATTATTTTACTTTAAAGATATTAACTTGCAGTAATGAAAATCGGCAAAAAAATCGCCTCAAAGTAAAGTGAAGAAGGTTAACGCGATAAGACAAATTTCCGCGAAAATAACTTAATTTGCTCACGGTGATATATATATATATATATATATATATAGAACCAAATCGTTATCATGATACATTCAACTACAATGATCTACAATTTTTAAAACTTTTACTACTTGAAGAGTGACGAAATATATCAAAGGGACATCAAACTCATAATTGAAAACGAACTGACAAAGCCGGGCAAACAACGAACAAGACAAGCAACAGTATACAAAACACAACATATAAAACTACAGATTGAGTAACACAAACCCCCCAAAAATATTTGGGATGAACTCAGGGTCTCCAAAAGGGTGAACAGATCATGTTCCACATGTGACACCCGTCTTGTGGCTCGTGTAATTCCTACCTCGGTGCCAAGCCTTATTCGGTAGGTGACATTCAAGGCAGAAATGACGGTATTTTGGTTACGTCGATTGGAACTTATCAGTCGTCATCTGGTAAAACAGATATTTCATAATTGTCAACCAACTCGTACTGGCGTCCATAAAATTTTCAAAGGGATGATTTAAACTTTGCATTTGAACTCTGGTTTAAAACCATGTTCAAACCACCATTTTTCTTCAAATGTCCTGTACCAAGTCAGGCATATGGCAGTTGGTATCGAATAATCTGTTTCTTTGTATGTTAATGTTTGTTTTTGTAGCAGTTCAGTGTTTCTGTTGTTCCGTTGTGTTCCTCTTATAGTTGATGCGTTTCCCACGGTTTTGGTCTGTGACCCGGATTTGTTTCAGTTACTAGTAAATCGATTGATGACTATTGAATAGCGGTATACTATAGTTGCCTTTATTTAATATCTTCATTGTGAGCAGTTACGCACTATCACGACAATCGTGAAAGTAAATGCAAGCTCTGGAATATTGTATCAACTTGGAGATATATACTCCACAAGAAGATGCCGCGAAATCGCGATACAATTAGGCAAGTGTTTAAATAAAGAGTTTTATTTAATTTTGCGGGCAGTACGTCGACTGAACATGCAAAGACAAATTTAGGAAATGCAAAATTCTACATTTATACGTCATATCATAAATATTCCGACTTGTTATTGTTTCAGAGGAGTTGAGGCTCAATGAAATCGGTCTCCTCCTTTAATAGTATAGATATGCAGGTGTTGCTATAATGTTGCTACATAGAAATGAAAAGTTTATAATTGGTTAGTAAGGAGTGTTTTTATGGGTTGATTTATGCTTATCTCTTTTGTCGTAAAACTTGTTCTCAACCAACCCTCATCGTCGATTTCAAGATAAAGTAGAGTGAACTATATCTGTTGAGTCTTTTTTTTTAATTTCAATGGAAAATACGAGTCAAACATTGTGACAAATTTGGCACTATTCAGCGAGATGACATCATCTATATAGTGGAAAGTGAAGTTTCAAGATAATGGTAGCTTCTTTTCAGTCGTCATCAGAAGCTCTTGCATGAAGTCATCCTCGTATGAAAAATGAACTAGTCATTCAAGCTATTCAGAAAGTCTAGTTGTAACTAGAATCGTTGCGTATTAATGGATTTTTTTCTTCAAAATTATTCTTATTTGATGAATAAATGCATTAAAACAATGAACAACGCAATTTAAGCAATCAAGAAGTCAAGTTTTATAATGTGTATACTGGTTTTTAAATTCTTTTAAATTTCAATTTTCATCAATTTACTTTTTATTTATTTTTGTCTTAATTTTCTATTTATTTTTTATGGTTCACATTAAATTAATAAAAGGTCTTTTGACACATCAATATTTATAATGAAGCTACAAATCAAACAATTAGAAAAGTCAAAAGATGTTTATTTCAGTCTGGTAATTACAATGCAGATTGCAATCTCTTAGTTTCACCCCCTTTATTTCAAGCAATAGTATGATTCGCACACATATTTTTTTACTTTGAATTTTTCAGATTCTTAAGAATTTGTTTATTAAATCTTATATTGACCACATACAATGTTTAATTGGAAGAAATGCTTAAAAGCTGTTTTTTCGCAGATGACGGTATTTTGGGCAACTGCATGAGTTGTTATGATTTGCTGTTTGATTAGAAGTAAGCATAATTTTAGGAAATTTATGATGTCAAAAACTTCTTTGATAGTTATTACAAGGTTTTACTTAGTTTTAAGTGATTAGCAGTTGCATCAGAAAGAAAAAAATTGGATTTTCACACATTTTGTTAATTTTACTCGAATTTCAGGAAACATGTGCTGTCTATCAAAAAAACGTTTTAAATATTTTAAAATGCATTTGATTAATGACCGTTAATCTCTCTGCAAAAAGTTTAAATGGATTGCATATTTGAATTTAGTATATAAAAGTCATATCATGCAATCAAGCTGAAATCTTAGAAAATATGCACTTATTCGTCCTTGGCCTTTGAACTTGATTTGACGGAAATTGCACCGTACGATTTTTTTACGACCGGGAAAACAGATAGTACAGATGTGTAGCTTTCAAATGATATATAATTTAGCCGTGTGTTAGGTGGGTGCATTAAAAATTTAATTTTATGGTTAAAGTCACTCGCCTATATATACCTGTGGCTTTAACTTTGCCTTTAAAAGCTAAAAATAGTACTGGGTATTTTAAAAAAGTAAATATAACTTTAAATCGATTTTCGGAAATTTCAACAAACGAAAACTAATGATATAGAAACAGAAAGTCAACATTGCGATAGGATGTCTAGAAATTATCAAGTAACTATTCATAGCTTCTTTCAATTATTTCTTGGAAGTGAATGCTTGATTACAATTGTAACGAGTATAGGATTTACAACGTTATTTTTCACTTGTTGGATCATAAGTATTTCAGTTCACAGCATATATAATTAAAGTTGCAATGAAAGATGGATTCATTTAGATACAGCAGGTAACATCATTCAAAACATTCAAGTTTATTTGCATTATGTTTTTGATAGTTATATATTGTTACAATTGTTACCACCATAGAAACACGCTCTTTCGGAATGTATTCGAACTAAGTTGTTTGTGAACTCATTAGGCTAAGGTAATCGAAAATTTGACATCATCATCATGACAAAATAGTTTTTATTAAAGAAAACAATTTCAAGGCACTAGTACAATTTTCTTGTTAGACATTCCGATTCTTGTGCCTATAGATTTATAAATGTTGTGGAATAAATTGTTTTCAAGTAATCACTATATATCTCATGACAATTTTATACCTGAAAGAATTTTCGAAATGACCCTGGATTTTAACTCAAAATACTTTATATCAAAATATCCCCTTAAAGTTCTTATTTTGTCATTTCTCGTGTATGTACGAAATTTTATTCTCGGGAATTTACATATGAAAATTCCATCATTATATTTCAAAACTTCTTACAACATTTTATTCTAGAATTAACAAATGACTTGAATAACCGTGTATATGGAGAACACATCGCCGTGATGACAGTTGTTAATAACCTTAATGCTCATTTCATGAATGAAAATCCGTCCAAAGCCTTGACATTTTCCTTCCATGGCGGACCAGGAACCGGAAAGACTTTAATCACCAAAATATTAGTAGATCATTTGTACAAAGAAGGCTTTAAACGTCAGTTTGTTAATATGGTTGTAGCTACTAGAGATTTTCCTCACAAACGGAATACAGATGAAAATAATGTGAGTTTAAGATATCGAAGTGTTGTACAATAATTATATTATGTATATCATGTATATAGAATAAAACATATTTCGTTCAAAATTAGTTTCCCTGTTATCAAGTGTGACGACGATAAAAGGTATAAACAAACATTTTGGCTGTACTTCTTACATCCCAATTTTTACGATGATGTTAATTATAAAGTCCGTAAATTTAGATATGATCCATGTAAACTAATTGATCCTTTGAATAACATTATCATTAAAGGTTATCGATTTAACACAGTAGTAAAATCTTTAAATATCGCTTTTATTGGTACTAACATTGATTTTGTTTTCGAAAAATTAAAACATCCTGTCGATACTGTGTACTTATATTTTGGCATTGCACAAGGCCATACGTTTTTTTACGTCCTTACATTAAATACGTTGGATGTGTTCTGATTGATACTTTAGATTGGGAGAACATGATTAATCTAATAGTTTTAATGGCTTTGAACTAGATTTCAGTAACTGCAAGTACACTTTTTACGGTGCTTGTTTTTATGTTAGCAGTTTTTGTGCCTCGTACCGATTTTTGTAGTTCAGCCAATTGCTATTGGTTTTTAGTGTTTGTTCATATGTTGTGCTGTTACACCACTGTCCCAGGTTAGGGGAGTTTAACCCTGCCACATTCTGTATGTAACTGTCCAAGGCCAGGGACTTGTAATTCAGTGGTTGTCGTTTGTTGATGTATTACATATTTACTTTCCTTTATTGTTTTGTACATAAATCAGATCGTTAATTAGCTTTCCCTTTTGAATTGTTTTACAACCGTCATTTTGGAGCTTTTTATAGCTTACTATGAGGTATGGGTTTTACTCGTCGTTGAAGGCCGTATGGTGACCTATAGTTGTAAACTTCTATGTCATTTGGTCTCTGGTAGAGAGTTTCCCATTAGCAATCATACTACATCGTCTTATTTCATATTTTAAAATGTATATTTTTACACCCGTGCTTATCAAAATAAAACCTTTGACTGTTTTGCAGATTAAAATTAGAAAATTAATAGAAGATAGAGTAAAACAATGCGAGCGATCTATGAAGTAGATAAGCTATCACCTGACCTTATTAACATAATAAAACCATATCTGGACCACCACGAACACATTGACAACATCGTTTATAGAAAAGCCATATTCATTTTCTTGAGGTAATTTATTTTATACGTTTTGTAACACAGCAAACACTATAAATTTAGTGTTAACCATTCATTATGGTCGTAACATTATCGTTAAAGCTTTTTAGACTATTCAGTATGATGTTGATGTGTACAGGTAAATAAAGCGTTTTAGACAATTCAGTATGATGTTGATGTGCACAGGTAAATAAAGCTTTTTAGACAATTCAGTATGATGTTGATGTGTACAGGTAAATAAAGCTTTTTAGACAATTCAGTATGATGTTGATGTGTACAGGTAAAAAAAACTTTTTAGACAATTCGGTATGATGTTGATGTGTACAGGTAAATAAAGCTTTTTAGACAATTCGGTATGATGTTGATGTGTACAGGTAAATAAAGCTTTTAGACAATTCAGTAAGATGATGATGTGTACAGGTAAATAAAGCTTTTTAGACAATTCGGTATGATGTTGATGTGTACAGGTATATAAAGCTTTTTAGACAATTCAGTATGATGTTGATGTGTACAGGTAAATAACAACTCCTGAACTGTAGATATAGGCTGAATAGATCTTGGTTGAAAACGCATTGTCTAAACAGACATGAATTTACCGCAGTGGTTAGTCTAAACATTTACTGAAAGACTTAACATAACTTAATAATCTATTTTTCAGTCTCTTATAAGAGCTATTCAGATTACAATAGCCGTTTCAATTCAAAATTGGTTTACTAGTGGAACCTCTGCTCGAGCTTGACATATTTCACTGTCGCTCTTATTTAGGATGTATATGAGTTTGCTCACTGCAAAGCATATTTTATTCAACGGCAAATTTAAGCGGCAAATTTAAGCTTCGGATGCTTTAACCGGTTAACATAAAAGTAGGGCTAATTTCATTCATATTAGTTTAACAAACACGTGTCATTTTGAAAAAGTGTTTCAATCTTCAATTTATAGTATTTTAGTTCGATGTATGTACATTGTACTTTTATGTTCTGACAACATTTTGTCCATCTTTTGAATATTTAAAATCAAATATCACTAGTAAATGTTCTAAATTTCTAAGCATAGTCATTTTGAAATATATCGACAAATTTTTATTGTTTACATCGGAAATGCATAGTATGGATATTCGAAACCAAAACCCAAATTCTTTCGAAAGTAAGAACATGTGTTGTTTTTCTTCAAATTTAGATTAAACTTACTAGTTTTGTTGAAGAAGTCCTTTTGATCAAAGCAAAACAAAACACAAAATATCAATATTTGATCAAATTATATTCGACAAGAATCAAAAAGCCTGAATAACATCTTAATTTCATAGATGTTTGAAAACACTTTGAAGTATATTATTTAAGACTATTAATTTTTCACATTCGAGTAGATTTCAAAACTTTTGCACATTTTCAAGATCAACTACTGTACGATTATAATTATTTCATAACTCAAAAGACAATCTATGACTTTATTTCTTTAGCAACACTGGTCCACTGTTAAGCAAACAAATGATTGATTTCTGGCATGACGGCAAGAAGCGTGAAGAAATTGATTTAAACGATTTGGAATATGTACTGGCAAAATCTGCTACTATTTCTGAAGGAAGTGAGTAAACCTCAATTTGTACAATAAGGCCAAATTTGTGTTTTACTTTGTATGTTTGTGTGTATTTTGTGTCCATCTGATACATGCTTTTATAGTTTGTTCTAAAGTTGTGCTGTTTCATCACTCTCCAAGCTTATAGGAGGGTTGGACATCCCTGAACATGCTGAACCCTGCAACATTCTGTATGTGCTTGTCCTAAGTCATAAACCTTTATTTCAGTGGTTGTTTTGTTTTGCTGTATATCATTTTTATTTTATTCGTTTTCTCGTTTTAATTTTTTTTTTTTTTTTTTTGGCATTTGCATTTGTCATGTATGGCCTTTTTTACAGCTTGCTATGCGGTATCGGTTTTGCTCAATGATTATTCAAGGCTGTATGGTGACCTATAGTTGCTTACTTTTGCGACATCGCATTGGCAATCATACCACACATTTTATGTATTCGTAGTGGGTGTGTATTTTGCTTGTTTTGTGTTAGTCCATTTAAAGAGGAATATCAATTGGCGTTAAATCATTTTTTAACAGTTCGGTATATTTTGTCCAAGCTGACCACGAAGTGGTTCTGTCTGTTTTCTATGCTAGTAATAGCCATATATATATATATATATTGCACAAAATATTAGGAAATGTTTAGCAAAATTAATTAATTAAATGTTAAGACTATTTATGTAACGGTCTGTGTCCTTAATTTTGCCTTGATAAAAACGTTTATTGTTATCACTTTAATATGAAATTCAGCACAAATGTATAACTTTAAAATAATATTCCTTTATAACTTATATACGTTGAAAGTAATTCAAATAATTTAACGTGCCTTTTACTTTAAGGTGGATATTACAAGAGTGATCTAATATTCCATCACCTTATCACAGCATACATCCCATTTCTACCTATTGAAAAAGAGCATGTGTTTGGCTGCATTAAACATCACCTACTAGCGAAAAGGTATTACAAACATAACATAGACATTCCGATTAAAACAATTAAAGAAATAGCTCAGCAACTCCATTTTTATCCAAATGAAACAGACAAATTGTTTTCAACGACAGGTTGCAAGAGGGTAGAAGAGAAAGTTGATTATGTAATGGGAGGTACAAGTTGATGTATTGAAGATGAACCACTAAGTGAAAAAAGATGATACATCAAGATTTTTCCATGTTTTTCCTTTCGTTATAGACTACTACTAACTCGAAGATTTATCCCAACTTTAGAAAGACTTTAAAGTGAGGATTATATTATGTATTTCTAATCTGTAAAGACTCCTTTGAATATGTGAACAAAGAGTGTTGCCTGTATAACAGGAGAGTTTCTCTCTGTATTAAGAATTAATAAAAACTGTTGTGTAACAGCATATTTGTCTTTTAAATATATCTATAAAACATTAAGGAAATTAATACAAATTTCCAGAAGCTGCAATTTCAACAAAGCAGTGAACAAATCATCAGTTTAGAAAGAGTGTGTAGACTTTTGGACATTAGAATGAAACGGTTGGTTCAGGAATGCATTTAACGAACTTAAAAAAGGACGTTAAAATGATATGTGTACATAACTATATGCGAGTATCTTAAAGAGTAAACAACTGGTCGCTTAGGTAATCTATTGGCATCATCAGCCTAGAAGTCTGTGCTTCGGTACATGACTTTTAACTTAATATTCTAATAAATTTGGAAATTACCCCGGTATTAAGAAACTGAGGGCCCAAGCCGCTCAGGCTAAGTTAACTTTGGATGAATTGGTCATGCTTTTAAGGTTCCTTTTGGTCATAAAGTTCCAAATGTTCCTAGGTGCATTTGTATTTATACATTCCTGGCTTCTATAGTTAATAAATATTTTGATTTGAGCGTTCCTGATGAAGATCAAAAAATATAAAAGCGCATTGGTTGCACAAAATTTAGAAAGTGTTATATTCATTTATCATCCCTACAGATTTTGATCCCCATAAAACAATTACTTTTTGCAGTCTTGTGTACAATTTCACAAAGAAACATTGTAATTTTCATTTGTTAATGACAGTCTGACCAGAAATCAGAAGAGGAGGATGCTATAAAACCTATCTTATAAACATATGATACAGATCTTAGTATGTGTAGTGTATGTTTCTGTAAAAGGAAAAAAAAACTTGAGGTACGTTTGCAACCATAATTCAATAAAATTCAAATACATTAAACAAGTGATCATTTATCCAAGTCAACAAATGACAAACAAAGTCACTTTAAACAAGCATTCTGAGAGTATTGCATGGCAATACATAGTCCCCTACCGGTTAAAAATTCATTGTACTGGAACAAAATGCTAACTTGATCTATAACTTGTCATGGTGTAAACTATATAATAAATATCAAATCAACATCTTCAAGCATGATGAAAACAATTGTGGAAAACTGATTATTCAAGTGAATTTTCTAAGTCCAAGGACCATAACTCTGCATAAAATTATCAGAACGGAACAAAATTTGAACTTGATCTGTAACTTGTCATAATAAAACTATATACCAATTATCAAATCAATATCTTCAAGCTTGACGAAAAACGTGCGGAAAACTGATTATTTGAGTGAATTTTCTAAGTCCAAGGACAATAACTCTGCACAAAATCATCAGACCAGGACAAAATTCAAACTTGATCTGTAACTTGTCATGATAAAAGAATATACCAAATATCAAATCAATATCTTCAAGCATGAAGAAAAAAGTGTGGAAAACTGATTGGCCGGACTGACGGATGGACAGACACACGGACAGCGTGCAAAGCTAAAGTCCCCTTCAACTTCGTCGGTAGGGGACTAATAAATCGCAAAATTGGTTGTTCATTCTACAATTAATGCACTATGTGAGAAGTTTATTGGGGTAATTTTACAAAAGTTCAATTAGAAGATCCTTACAATTGCTTTCCTCATCAATAACATGTTGTGGAATCCTAAAGTCATATTTTGACTACTACTTGCAACAGAAAAAGCAGGTTTTAAATTCAATATTTATGTGTTGCAATAATTTAATGAATTAGCTGTATTAATATTCAAAACCATCTCAAATAAGTAATATTCAAAAGAATGATAATTATAATGACATTGAATTCTTTCATTTAATTGAAATCAATTCAAAATATGTTTTTGTTTAAATATCAAACGTACATTTAAACAAAGGGATTTGACAAAAGGCAAAGCCTATACAAATCCTTGCCCATACAAGATGGATGAATAAATAATCTGATAGTATATAATATATTTCTGATAATTCATAGATCATTCATTATTGATTCGTTTATCAATTCTTTCATAAACAAGAAATACAACGACCTTATAATGGCATATTGATATGGTAAACATGCCCATTTTATTTTTTCAAAACAATGAATTATAAAACAATATACTACAATATAAAACAAAATGTATTGAAAAAGAATATATTGTAGAAAAGACATTCAAATATATATTATGTACTTGCAACATGAATTAAACTCCTTAAACTCAAATTGTGAAAGTTTTTGGACAAATTTAATTAAGTCTATTAATCACTATTTCATTATTCTTATAAACATGATAAACAAGGCGAAACAGGTTCTTTTGCTGCTGTTACTAAAAATTCCATGTTTGTCAATGCTTCAACTACACGCAATATAAAAATGTCTGTACTATTTTATTTAACAGTCTTTTTAAAATCATTAAAATAACTGAGAAAATAATATATTTAAAGATAAAATAACACAGACAGTAGAACCTGGGAATTCATTTCTCCAAAGAAAGGTCCTAAGAGTGTGAATTCCACATTAAAAAAACAAATTTGTAATATCTAAGGTTTAAGATCTATTTAAAAACTATTAAAACTCACACTTTTGCCACGGATGTATTAAACCAATAAGATAACAATTAAAACATATCATTTAGTGTCAATAATAAGTACAATGCCAGAAGATTCTTATAATTGGTGTTAGGCAGTTTTAAAGGGTAGTGAAGTAGTGTATCCAATAATGTCATGATAACAATAAGCTGCACAATATGGACCCTATAAAACAACGTGTTATATTCACAAATACTTATGTTTGAACTTTTCATAAGGCACATTTAGGGACGAAAACGCAATACCCAAAAATAAAATACGAAATAAAATCTATCAAAATTTTAATGCATACAAGGTTTTATTTACGAAATAGGAAAAAAAACATTTATCTAGGTACAATAATAATTTGTACAAAATTCATTACCCTAACATTAAATAAAATCTAAAAATCCCATTTGTTTAAATTTACTTAAGGAATTTGCTAAATAGTGAGGTACCTAAAAGAGAATATCAAAATGATGGTGTATGAATGATGGTAAAATAAAGGAAATTTTTTAAATGTTGCATTTAAAAATTAATGCCCATTTGTAGATGAGGATAGATATATATGCACGAACTTTAACAAGGCAGTATACATTTGTTCCTCCTGACTAAGTTTTATTTGCTTGAAAGTGATTTATCTAAAAGAATTTCTAATGATGGTGTAAGAAAGATGGTCAAGTATAGAGAATTTTTAAAATGTTGAATCTAAATAGTAATGCCAATTGAAGGTAGATGAGGAAAGATGTTTATACAAGGGGCAGTGTTATTTGCTCGAAAGTGAGGCATCTTAAAAGAGGTTTAAAGATTGTGGAAAGAAGGTGGTCAAATATACACTGATATAGGGATTTTTTAATGTTGCAATAAAAATACAGACCATTCATGTGCAAATACGAGACAAGTCTTCCCAAACTTAAAGATTAAAATATTATCTGCCTGTTTTTCATGGAGGTTGTATTTTACAAAAAAAAGGTTTAAACAGAAGAGAGGTAAAGAATACCAAAGGGACATTCAAACTCATAATTAACAGACAAAGCTATGGCTAAAAAAAAGACAAACAGACAAACAACAAAGAAAACCATAGACTGAGCAACACGAACCTCACCAAAAACTGGGGGTGCACCGGAAGGGTAAGCACATGTGGCACCCGTCGTGTTACTCATGTAAGTACAAACCCGGTGATAAGTCTAATTTGGTAGGTCACATTTGAGGGAAAAGGGACGAGATTATAGTTACGACAATTGGAACATATCTGTCGTCATCTGTGAAACAGATATTCCATAACGGTCAACCAACTCGTGATGGCTTCTGTAAGGATGATTTCAACTTCACCACTAAAGAGGAAATACATGCAATTTGATAATACTGACCCTATACAACTTTGTTATGATTTGTTCTATAAAGTGGTTTTAATAAATTTCATAAATAAAAAGATTTAATCAACAAATAATAGTTGGTCATTTTTCATTTTAATATTTGACATGTTTGACATAAGAAATCATATTTGACATTAGAAATAATATTTGACACTAGAAATAATATTTGACGTACTGACATTAATTACTAGTAGTTAAAATGCTTCAAAACAATCACCTTAATATTACATAATCTCTGTTACAATCAACTAACTAATACTAAAGCATCATTTCACAAGGTGATACCTTAGTCTTCATAAAAATGAGATTCTTTGTAAAATATGAAAACAACACTTTAAAAATTTCATGCATCCAAAGGGTTTTCTTGGATTTACCTTTATTGGGAACGTTCAGAGCTGAATTTTTGAAAGTCAAGGATGTATAAGAACAGATACCATTGAAGAGCTATATGACCAAAAAGTACCTAAAATTAATGGCCAAATCAATCTAAGGTCAACTTTGCCTCATGGAGTTGAAACCTTAATTTCTTAATAATATATAAATCTATAAACAGATAATTCAAACTAGAGGTCTAAAGCAATCTAATTAAAATTAAATCCCCGCACTTGCTCCTCGTTGTTTATATATCGCGCGTGGGAGATCTAAAAACAGCTGCTTGAGGGTCATGTCTAGGGTACAATTTGCTGTAGCCAATCAGCAAAGGTGCTACAAACTGTTAGGGTATTGGACTGGCATATGAGTCTTAGTAGCGTCTAGAGGTCTTCCGAATGTATATAAACAAAAATGGCAGCCCCCATGCGAAAAACGTTTCGTAACATACAACTGTAATAATAGTTTGTATTATTGCCTTCCGAGGTTAAAATGGCATCAAGTGAAGTATGCACCCCAAGAAAATATCAGTAAGAACAAACATGTGTGTTTTATGCGGTTATTCTTTCATCCAGATAGAAATCTCCTCAACGGGAGAACGTGTTGAAAAAAAACCTGTTCAAACTGAAACTTCAGCAGAACTCAGAGAGAATCGCAATAATTTCTAGTGTTGTTACTGGTTTTGAGGTAAACGCTGAAGTAGCCAAGGACAATGGCGTCTGTATTAAATGTTTTAGAAAATCCAACAGTCAATCAAATTAAAGAAAGATGCATTAAAAATGCAAGAAGAACTAAGTGACTAACTTCGGGTGTCTTACCACCTGACCAATCAGAAAGATTAATTGCTAATAGATTTGTAAATCTGCAAGGTGGAACAAACAATAATATAAACGTAGATGAATACTTAGAGATGTTGAACAAGGATACAAAAGTAACATGTTCAGGACATCAGACAAAGGAAAGTATCCTTCAACACTCTAAAGAGTATCCTCACCTAGTTAATTTTGCAAGCCATTTTGATAACATTGCCAATTTAACAGGAAAGAAGGGGTTCCGCCATATACCGTCATACCAAGCTGATGTTCAGAAAATTGCAAAAGACCTACTACAAGAAAATGTACTAACATATAAAACTTCAAGAATAATTAAGTGCAAGGAGCTAAAAAAAAAGACAAAAACCCATTTGACAGTGCATTTATAGGACTTCGTACATTGATTCATCGACATCAACCAACAGTCCCCTTCCATCGCCTTCGAAACCCACATATTTGCTTGGAATTAAATTATTGTGAATAAAGTGTGCAGGTTTAATTTTCTCTTAAGTCATAACCTTAATTAGCTGGTACTTTTTTTAGTATTTTGTTGCTGATATTAAAAAAAATGTGTGTCATAAGTCAATGAGACATCAACCCAACAACAAAGTAATGAAATACTTTCAGTTTAGTTGCAGAATATCATGGTCATTTTGATAAGACAGCATAACTACCTACAAAAACATGTTTATAAAAAAGTGGCATGATTTCTAATGAGACAACTATTCAAAAGGGACCAACTTATTTTTTCTGTATTAAAGTTCACAGTTCCACCTCTGACTTTGAGTAAAACCTATAGCAAGCTGTACAAAGGCCCGAAATGACTTTATGAAAACATCAAGCACGTTTGTACAAAACAACAATGAGATAAAAACCAAACTTTTACAGATTTGTTCACAAGGCGACCAGCATGCAGATATTTACCCTATATGTACATGTAAAGAGCTGTTGATAAAACTTATACAAGGTGGTGTTGGTTAAATGTGCTTTCCTGAGTGATGAAATTATTAGTGCACATTATTTGGTTCAATTTCTATCTTAGTCAAATTAAACACAGTAACTTAATATAATAAAATGCTCCGCAGATGTCGAGCCCTGAACAGTTGGGGCAAGTATGGACACAACATTCAAGCTTGATACAGCACTGAGTTTGGATTGTGATTAAATATTTGACACAGCATAGGTTTCTGACACAGAATGAATGTGGTCTAAGAACTTGTAAATTTTTAATTTACCTATTCAAACCATATCATTATTATTTGCTTTTATATATAAATCAGAAATAACAAATTTAAAATGGAAAATTTTAAAGAAAAAAAAAATCCCCCCACCCAAATTTTTGAACCCCCTTATGATTCATCACCCCCAAACTCAATCCCAGCCTTCCTTTTGTAGTATGGTACCTTGCTGTACAATGTCAGAGAGATCCATACACTTGAACACAAGTTATTGACTGGAAACTAGAAAAATGCTTGTTTTTTGGCCCCTTTTTGGTTCAAAATTCCTAGGGAAATTACCCCCAAACTCAAACCCAGCTTTCCCTTTGTGATATGGAACCTTGTAGTACAATTTCAGAAAGATCCATACACTTACACACAAGTTATTGTCATGAAACTAGAAAAATGCTTGTTTTTTGCCCCTTTTTTGGCCCCTAATTACTAAAATTTTAAGGCAATTACCCCAAAATCAATCCCAGCCTTCCCTTTGTAATATGGAACCCTTTGGTACAATTTCAGAGAGATCCATACACTAACACACAAGTAATGTCTGGAAGTTATAAAAATGCTTATTTTTGGCCCCTAATTTCTGAACTGTTGGTACCACAACCCCCAAAATCAATCCCCACCTTCCTTTTGTGGTATTGAACCTTATGGTAAAATTTCATGGAGATTCTTTCACTTAAACTAAAGTTAGAGTGCGAAAACCACTTCGGAAAAAAATCTTCGGACGACAACGACGACGCCAACGTCATACCAATATACGACCGCAAAATATTTTTGTGGTCGTATAAAAAAGAAGATGTGGTATTAAGTCTATATTTGACTGTTTTCTTGATGAACACATTGATCTTGAACAAAGTTGTAAGTAAGATATAGTCCCACTGCATGTTATTGTCTTGAATATGCATGAAATATTTGCCACTGAAACCCAAGTGAAGAAATCAATAATCAATCAACCTGTCAATGTTTATTTTGAGCAAAAATAATCATCCTCTATGTATACTGTTGGCTACACCAAGTTAAATACAATGAGTTTGCTATATAGAACAAATATAACATCATCAAGAACAATGAACAAAAAGGTCAAAGTCATACATGTCATATGAACCATGCAAAAACTTAGCACAAAAGTACATACATCAATAGCAATAATTCTATACACCAAAGATAGTTGACTTGTTGATCAATAAACCATGAAAAGTCAAGGTCAGAAACCAAGCAGACTGATTTTTAAAGTTCGTTCCCGTGTTGTACTGTTACACCGCTGTCCCAGGTTAGGATCCTGCTAACATGTTTAACCCCGCCACATTCTCTATGTATGTGCCTGTCCTAAGTCAGGAGCCTGTAATTCAGTGGTTGTCGTTTGTTTATGTGTTACATATTTGTTTTTCGTTCATTTTTTGTACATAGATTAGGCCTTTAATTTTCTTGTTTGAATTGTTTTACATTTGTCATTTCAGGGCCTTTTATAGCTGACTATGCGGTATCGGCTTTGCTCATTGTTGGAGGCCGTACAGTGACCTATAGTTGTTAATTTCTGTGTCATTTGGTCTCTTGTGGAGAGTTGTCTCATCATGATCATTGGCTATCATACCACATCTTCTTTTTTATATAACATGTACATCTTACAATAATTCCACACCAAATATATTTTTCTGTTTGTTTATCATGTTTATAGTAATCGAGATGCAGACTTGACCCCGAATATATGCTTGTTTCATGAAATGAGGTCAAGATTAGGCGAATCTGCAACCATATCTGACAGACATGACATACATGGCAGACATGGTTTTCTCTTTTAAATTTGTTCATATTTTTCTGGTCGGGGCCTTTTGTAGACGACTAAAGGCATGGGTTTTTCTCGTTGTACTACAATTGGTTATATCAAGTTATTGAAAAGTCTGGAGGGCAGTTGTCTGATTGGCAATCATACCGCATCTCTTTATTTTTAAGATGAAAACTAGTAAATATTTTATGATGTGTGTCATTCAGTTACTGTCTCATTTGTTTTTATACGCTACATCTCTTTTTAGTCACATTGACAGCTGCAGGCATGACATGAACCCAGATCTAGAGTGGCAATACAGCAATTTTAAGGGGGTTAAAAGTCAAAAAATTTAAAGAGTCTAAAGTTGAATAAGTTACAGAAACCAGATACTGAAAAATTAAATAAATAAATATCAACTGTTTTAATCATCTTGTATTTCTAATAAAGCCATATCAAGATCTTTGAAGTATTCATAGGCCGACAAATTGTAGTCTTCAGTATCGCTATCTGATACAGCAGAATCTTCTTGCTCCTCAACAACTTGTTCTGACAGAAATAACTTCTCAAGAGGTAACATATCACAGGATTCACAATTACAAGACTTAGCACACAAGTCACAGCATGAATGTTTCCTGCTTTCTTTCTTCATCAAATCATCCAAGTCTGAATTTCTGAGGAAAATACACATCAGACCCTTTCTCCTACAATCTTTAGCTTTAAGAATTGCCATAACTTCCGGTTCCAACTTCTGCAAGTGGTATCCATTGTATAGGATAATGGCAACTGATAGATTTCCATCCCTCAAAATCTACCAGATTATTTGGAGGTCCAATTATACCACTCCACTACACTTTTTTACATTTAAAACCCATTCCCAGGGCACTGGTTGACAAAATAAGTCTCAAAACACTACTTTCCTCCTTCAATGCATTAATTATAATGTTTTTGTTAACATCTGGAGTTTCAGAACGGAACATCTCAATATACTTGGCACAATGTGGCAATTCTGTTACAATGTATTTATAAAGTTTGGAAGTGTCATTTATCGATGAACAATACAAAAGTGTACGTGGGAAGTCCTGTCTTTTTTCCTCTAATGCATCTACTAACCATGTCATTCCCATTTCAATTTCATTTTTAATTTTGGAAGATACTAGTTTAATATTAGACTTGTTTGGTGATAAATTAATTTCTGTTGTGTCCTCCGCTAGCTGCAATATTTTCCTGACTTTTTTCCTAAAGCTTACTGTGCAAGTTGCACTTAAAGCCAATACTGTAGCATCGGGAAAGAGGGATCTTTTCTGTCTCCTTCATCTTGGCCCCTGAAAGAAAAATAGAAATAAGTACATCTATAAAAACTTTTATAAAAGGTAAATATCAGCACCTCTTGCCTAATTTGTTAATTCTTACGGCAAAACAAAAATAAATACATGTATGTGCATGTCCATATTGTTATGTAACAGCCTATCATTCAGTGGTTGTTGTTGGTTGCTGTCTAGCACATTTGGTTAGGGTTTTATTTTTCATACATTCTTATAATTACATTGTAATGGTTCAACATTTTGCAAGTAGTGGTCTTAAAAGAGCTTACTTTTTAGTATTAGGTTATCTCGTTCTTGAAAGCTGTACAGTTCTGTACAAGTGGTCTTAATTTTTTAATTCTATATTTTTGAAAATCTAAAATTCATAAAAATGGGAAGGAGTACACATCAATATATAGAAACAATTCATCAAAGTTTCATGCAAATTCGTTGAATAGTTTTTGTGTTACTGTCTGACATGTTGACGATTGACAGACAATCACAGGTTAGGGGAGGGTTGGGATCCCGCTAACATGTTTAACCCTGCCACATTCTGTATAGTGCCTGTCCCAAGTCAGGAGCCTGTAATTCAGTAGTTGTCATTTGTTTATGTGTTACATATTTGTTTTTCGTTCATTTTTTGTGCATAAATTAGGCCGTTTGTTTTCTGGTTTGAATTTTTTTACATTGTCATTTCGGGGCCTTTGATAGCTGACTATGCGGTATGGACTTTGCTCATTATTGAAGGCCGTACGGTTACCTATAGTTGTTTATTTCTGTGTCATTTGGTCTCTTGTGGAGATTTGTCTCATTGGCAATCCTACCACTATTCTTTTTTATATAGACAACGGTATACCATAATACGTCCTGTAAATGTGCGAATAGAAATGAACATGGGGAATAAACATTGTATCCACTTACCAAATTGCTATTGCGTGAAACTCATCAATTACAATCAACTTAATGTTAAACTTCTTTAAACAAGTTCTCCAATAGGGATCACCAACCAATGTTTCTGGAGATGCAAAAATGACATATATCAAACCCTCTTTGATTCGATCGTCACTCTGGGGGAGATGATCCTAAAATGCAAAAAAAAAATGTAGGTGGGCAGTCTCCAAAAAGACATATTTCTATGATAACTTCTATAATTTAAATGTACACTGTACAAATACCCTTTCTCCATTTCACTGCGTTTGATTAAAGATTGAAATCCAATGAAATAATTCTTATTGTTGTAAAGTCCAATACAGAAATTAATACAGCTGAGATTTCAATGAATGCATGGCATATTTTCTCGATTTTGAGATGTTTCTGCCAATTTACCTGTTTGGCCATCTAACAAGGTCATTTAGACTGCACTTTTTCATATTTTTTTTTTATTTTTTCACTGTTTAACACAAATAACAATCTAATTTAAAAATTAAGTTTCCCACACGTTTCTGGGCCATGTAAAGCTGACTATGCTGTAAGATTTTGCTCATTGTTGAAGGTCAGATGGTGACCTATAGTTGTAAACTTTGTCATTTGTTGTCTGGTGGAGAGTTGAGTTGGCAATTATGCTTCAAGTCTTGTACATGTACGACATCTTCTTATTCTTATATGCATGTATATTTGTTTTGAGATAGATTATTAGTACATGTAATTAACAACATTTCCCTTGGACTCTGGTGCTTCATTAATACAACATTTAGTATATATCTTTATACAAAGTATGAAGAACTAGCATTATGGCCAAAACGACTGTAAAATACTGGCAATATGACCGATACAATCTGTTTTCGGTGAAATGAGACAAATTTATGTGCTACCATGGCTACGATCTACTGCTTCTGCATTTTTTTTAACTTTGCTCATGTATATCTAAGTTTCATATTACTGCTTTGTTACTGTTAGTCATGTGTATATGTTGACATACTGAAGTTTAAATGTATGTTCCTGCAAATAAATTATATTTTATTTGATAAGGCATACATGTACATCTTTGCCTGGTCAGATGCGGATCCAGGACTATGGAAAAGGGGGCCTTGCATCTAGGCACCATAAGGTGTGGGAATAACGTCTTAAGAGAGAGGCATTGCATTAATTATATAAGTAGCTCCAACAGCATAGGCGGATCGAGGGGGCCTGGGCCCCCCTTTTGTGGGAAAAATGTAGTTGATTATATAGGGAATCACTGAAGCATGACTGAAGCGGGCCCCCTCTTAGGTCAGTCAGTGGGCCCCCCTCACAAAAAGTTCTGGATCCGCCACTGTACATGGGGGATAACATGTCACCCCCTAACTGATTTCTCAGGTGTTATAAACATCTTTATTATACAACACTGCCAACACAATAATTATAATATAAATTAGGTGTTTAATGGCATTATACTATAGTATAGACTATTCCATTTATTGAAGCCTTACTACCACTGCATGCTTAAAGTTATACTAACCTTTGTATGCAGCAGTAATATTTCCAATGTGCGAGAGTTTTTCCACCTGGTCCTGCATCAGAGCTACTAAGGGACAACAGACTAAAACTTTCCAGTTAGAACTGTTTTCAATAACCTCCCGGAGAACTGGAAGGTACAGTTGAAACGGCAGTGACTTGCCAAAACCAGTCGGGAGTACAGCCACGCAGTTCTTCTTGTTAACTAAACACTCTAAAATTTCATTTTGCTCCTTCTTTATATCATTTATACCAAATTTTGGCAAAACTTTTGTCAAAACGTTGTCCAAACTGGGCGCATCCATGTTTTTTAACGATCAGATAATGGTATACAAGCCCGACGCTGATTGGTTAATCGAAATTGATTTTCTGCACGCTGATTGGTCGGTCAAAGTTCACCAAATTTGACCCTAGACATGACCCTCAAGCGGCTGTTGTTAGATCTCCCACGCGCGACATATAAACAACGAAGAGCAAGTGCGGAGATTTAATTTTAATAAGATTGGGTCTAAAGAGACTGTGTCGCTCACCTTGGTCTATGTGCATATTCAACAAAGGACACTCTCCAACATTCTAGACAAGAATAGAATTCATGACAAAAATCTGTTTTGTTGATCTTGAATTGCTGATCATTTATCTGTTTAATTTCTCTTTATCTTCTTTAGTTTTTGCTCAAAACACAAAAGAGGGTAAAAAAGTCCTCATTTAAGGGCAATCACTCCTATATAGAGTGACAGTCTACTAACTGTATTGGCAAAATTTGATGTGTTGGTTGATTTTGCCTTGCTGATCATTTTTGTGATTTAAAGTGTCTATTTATCTATTATAATTTTCATCATAAAATGCAAACACAAAAAAATTGGTAAAAATCGTCATTAAAGGGCAATAACTCCAATAAGGAGTCGTCGGAAGATTTCCTCCATATTGTCTTAATTGTAGAACTTGTCTTGCTGATCAATTTTGCTCATTTAAGTTTCTATCTATCTATTATAATTTTTAAGATATAAGGCAAAAACGCAAAAAAATTGATAAAAATCATCATCAAAGGGCAATATCTCTAATAAGGAGTCGACTGATGATTTTGACCATGTTAGACTTATTTGTAGAACTTGTCTTGCTGATCATTTTTGCATTTTAAAGTTTCTCTTGATCTATCATAGTTTTCAAGATATTAGGCAAAAATGTTGAAATTTGTCATTTAAGGGCAATAACTCCTCCAAGAACTCGTCTGAGAGTTTTGACGTACATGTATGTGGACATTTGGTAAAGCTCAACATTCTGAACACTTTTGCCCTTGTCAAACTTTCTCTTTTCAAAAAGTTTTCAAAATAATAGACAAAACTTGCATTTTATCCCTGTTCTATTTTTAGCCATGTCGGCTATCTTAGTTGTCAGGCGGGGCCATCGGACACATTTTTTAAACAAGATACCCAAATGATGATTGTGGCCAAGTTTGGTTAAATTTGGCCCAGTTAAGTTTCAGAGGAGAAGATTTTTGTAAAAGTTAACAGACAATGACAGGTGACGACGAAGGATGACGGATGCCAAGTGATAAGAAAAGCTCACTTGGCCCTTTGGGCCAGGATGACCTCAAAAGGTTTGTTATGTAAATAAACAAATTTCTATTTATGTTAACATATGATATTTACAGTTTCAATTGTACTGTGTGTCCAGGTTACCTTGAAGTCATTCCGACATGGAAAAGTGTCAATATATTGAGGGAAACAACAAAATTTAAAAGTCTGTATAACTTTAAAAGTATTACATTTTTTCAAAGTTTATACACAAGCAGTTGTGCGGCTAGAAATTTTAGATTGTTTTGTGCCATCACATGGGATAAAAATTTACAGCACAATAAAATTAAAGTAGAGTATATTCTCTTTGTTGTAAATACAAAACTATTACCCAAAATTCAAATTTACTTTCCAATACTTTGGATGCACTGCTAACATTGTGGATCACAAGATAGAAGCATAAGTAGAGGAAAATGTTTTTAATTACCAAATTCTTCATTCTTCTGGTCTTTTAAATACAACAACAAATATATAGAAAATTCACAAATAAAATGTTTAGTATGTTCAAAAGTGAAAGTGCTTTTCTGTCATTCAGTCATGGGGCTGAGGTTCTAAAATCTAAAACTAAACAAAGTCTAAAAACAAAAGAAAAAACAAGTCAACAAAAAAGTGACATTCAGTGTGATATATAACAAATATAAACAGGAATATATGTATGGTTATCTAAAGTACTTAACAAAAATAACTGGAATTTATTATCTCCATCTACTGGAAATTATCATCATGAAATAAACAACATCTGACCATGCTGATGGGGGGGGGGGGGGGGGGCAATATATATTCATAAATGGTTTCAATGTACAAAAAAAAAAACTGAACAAGATATTATAAAATAGTATAACTAAAAACTGTTGTAATCTATCATAAAAAAGTGACGCAACTGGTGAATAGACTTCTTATGGTGAATCTTTAATTACTCATTTCAAAGAAGATTTAACAAATATATATATTCATAAATGGTTTCAATGTACAAAAAAAAAACTGAACAAGATATTATAAAATAGTATAACTAAAAACTGTTGTAATCTATCATAAAAAAGTAACGCAACTGGTGAATAGACTTCTTATGGTGAATCTTTAATTACTCATTTCAAAGAAGATTTAACAAATATATATATTCATAAATGGTTTCAATGTACAAAAGAAAAACTGAACAAGATATTATAAAATAGTATAACTAAAAACTGTTGTAATCTATCATAAAAAAGTAACGCAACTGGTGAATAGACTTCTTATGGTGAATCTTTAATTACTCATTTCAAAGAAGATTTAACAAATATCAGCATAAAATTTGCAAGGACTGAGCATAGCATCCCATAGCTTTAATTTCTTCAGGAGTACATTAACCACAATATAACTATTTGTTATTGCTCAAGTGTTGTGTACATGATAAATTTCTATGAACTTTAAAAAGAAACAATTTCCTTTTTTTCCATTAGTGTGTAAAAGTGTAAAAATAAAGTTAAAAATTCTTATATTGTCTTGGTCATTGGAAAAATATACCAAAAATAACTGTTTATTTGACAATGTTATAAATTCTCATTTTTGTTACTCACTTATTTTAAACTTTTGCACTTTTTCCTTCATTTATACACAAAAACATAATTATATGATAAAACATACGATTTAATAATGTATTGATTAATGAGAGGCACTTGGACATTAAAATACTGTTTACTAGTCTTCCTGACTACCTTTCAAGTTGCTTTCTTAACAATGAATTTTACTATACTATTTCTCAAAAGAGGCATGAACAGTTGAGCTTCTAATAAACCTCTTTTTCATATATTGGCATTATCGGGGAAATAGTTTTATAAAAGACAAAGTACAATTTGCTTAATTTACTGTTAGATAATAAAACTCTGAATTAATTTTCAATAGAAACATTTATTTATCAGATTATAAAAAAGAGCAATTGAGCTACCATGTCATATGGTACAAATCGTGTAACTGTCATCGATTCGAGCTGCTCATCCCCTTACTACTTGTATACAAGGACTAGCTTCCAACCTTTCAGTATAAGTTACCTAAGTAATATAATCATTTGTCTTACTGACATTTGACAATAATTCACAACCAAAAATACTAATCTAATATAAAAATAAGAAGATGTGATATGATTATTCTTGAGACAACTATCCACAAGCACCAAATAAAGTTAAACCTTTTTTCATTTCATTTTTTAGCTAAATTTACTTGACTAATGGTGCAATGATTAATGCAAACAAGAATTAATGATAGTAAAATCCTTGACATTTAACAACCAAATATAATACAAGATAATTAAATCGATTTCTGAACAAAATTGTAGTTAAAATAAATTGTAAAAATTGGCAGTTTGACCTTTATTCTTCACAATGCTGTCCTGTTGCAGTTTCAATTATAACAATTACACACTCTGAATTCATAATATGAATTGGGTGAATATGTGCATTTTGCTTTGATGATTTAAATCTATGTATGATACGATCAATTTTTAATGGCAGAAATAAATCTTGATAGCTTCATACAATATTTTATATGACATTTAAATATTTAATTAGTTGTTATTCACCTACAGGTACTAATATATACTGTGACTAGACTTTGTATAACCTTAGCAGATACTTACTCCATATTTCAATAGCTTAGTATTCATACTTCCCTTGGTAGCTTGAGAACCTTTATCTATTTGTTTGATTCTATATTTTTATTGAAATTTATTACCACTTTTTTTCATTTTATGACAGTCATGTATTGGATGCAAGAAACAAAATTTATATTTGTGACAAAAATCATATTACAAAAAGGGATTTCTTACATGACAGCTTCTAAACAAGCATAAAATATCACTTGCATGTTCGCAATACTATCAAGTTAATGTAGTATGGAGATGCAATATGTTTTGCCTGTGAGGCTGAGTAAGATTTTGGTCATGCTAGCTCACAAGGTAACAATCCTTTGGAAAAAATATCATTCTACTGGGACACATTATTCTGATAGCATGTTGCCCAATCTTTCCTCCTTACTCTGTTCTGCACTACAAGTCAACCAGTCTTTACCTTTACTTCTAAATATTTTGTGCTTGACAGGGAAGCAGCAAAATCCAATTCTAAAGTCTTTGATTTGCACTAGCCTTGGATCTAACCCACGACATTGCACTCTAGGAGAGCAAGCTAAATTTGGGACCAATTAATCCGTTCTACAAAAAAAAGAAGAAATCTGTTAACAGCATGTGCAATATTGTTGTTGAATAAAAAAAAACAAAAAAAAGAACCACTAATCTTTTGCGAGTTACTGGTAATGAAAAACTCTGACTCTTTTCACATAAAATATTATGATTAAAATTGATTGTAAGTTATACTAAAATGATCATCACTTTTGAGTATTTTTACTCATAAGATTTTTTGTGAAAAGAACCCTTATACCTTATACCAATAAAATTAATGCAAATAACCAGTACAAAGTCTAAATACTTAAAAAATCAGAAAACAACAAAAATTATCTTAACAGGCAGATGTTAAAACAAACATAGATACCAAAACCACTGGTGTCATCTAAAATGTTTTGAATTCATCTTTAAATTTCATTTGTTGTTAAGCTGTATGTTGTTTTTTTTTTATCTTTTTCTGGTTCAGCATGCAATTATGTAATTTTTGCATATTGTTCTGCTGGCTTGTTGTCATGGTTGTCAAGGAGATCATTTTCTGATGGCTTGATAGCAAGGAGACGATCTTCTGTTCCTTCTGTTCCTTTTCCTTAACAAAAAAATAATAACGTTTCATAAAAAATAAGAAAAAGTTAAGAAAAAAAAATATTTGAAAGCAAGATGAAACATAACAATACCATACAGTACTAAATCAGTGCTAATGAACTACGATATCCTTGAATATACAAAGTATTTTACACTAAGTCATACTTTGGAGAATGAGAGATGCACAACAGTGTTAGTCTCTTTCATTTTTTTAATAACAGAAATATCAGGCATCATGTTTACCACTAAGGGAAGATCTTTCTAACCAAGTTAATTTTTTCATTGAAGTTAACATAAAAAATAAAAACATGTATTGTAATATACTGTAAACCAACTAATTTTCGCGAGCGATTTATTTTCGCGACTTTCACGAGTAGAACAATAACTTGAATAAATGTATAACTTGGATTTTTCCTTATTTAACTACATCAAATTAATTTGAAAATCACGAAAATAAATCGCCGTGCAATGGACTAGAAAGGGCTGAATGCGAAATAAAGTATCCGCGAAATTAAGTTGGTTTACAGTAATGGTTTCTAAAGCAATTGAACTTTGTTCAATTTATCTCAATTTAAATACAGAAAGGCATATAAATCATAAACATTTAACTAAACTTTATCACACAAATATAAAGATATTACTTATGAAAGTATGATTCCACTTAGAGGAATTTAATAACTAGAGGCTCTCAAGAGCCTGTGTCGCTCACCTGATTCTACTTTGGTTTTGGAAATCATGTTAAAATAGATTAAAATCATAACAAATACCCTAATAATGAGTGAGGCCAAATTTGGTTTAATATTGGCCCTGTAATTTAATAAAAAATCCTGGTGGCAATCTTGAACAGTAAATCAGCAACAAAGTAGCAACACTTCATCAGCACCTCATAAGAAACATTTATAACATGTTTGGTTTCATTCCATTCAGTGCACCTCTAGAAGAAGCATTTGTATGTATTTCCAATAGGGTCTTATGTTAAAGGAAGTCCCCCCGCTGGCGGCCATCGTGGATGAAGGATCAGCTTCAAAGTAACAACACTTAGTCAGCACCTCAACAAGGAACATTCATGCCGTGTTTGGTTTCAATCCATTCAGTGGTTCTCTAAAAGAAGACATTTGTATATTTGTCCATAGGGTCCTTTGTTAAACACTGTCCCCAGCTGGTGGACATCTTGGATGATGGATCTGCTTCAAAGTAACAACACTTGGTCAGCACCTCAAAAGGAACATTCATGTCGTGTTTGGTTTCATTCCATTCAGTGGTTCTTTAAAAGAAGACATTTGTATGTATTTCCCGTAGGGTCCTATGTTAAACACTGTCCCCCGCTGGCGGCCATAATTGGTGGATCGGCTTCAAAGTAACAAAACTTGGTCAGCACCTCATAAGGAACATTGATGCCATGTTTGGTTTCATTCCATTCAGTGGTTCTCTAAAAGAAGACATTTGTAAATATTTCCCATAGGGTACTATGTTAAACTAAGTCCCCCGCAGGCGGCCATCTTGGATGATGGATCGGCTTCAAAGTTTCAACACTTGGTCAGCACCTCATAAGGAACATTTATGCCATGTTTGGTTCATTCCATTCAGTGCACTTCTAGAAGAAGCATTTGTATGTATTTCCAATAGGGTCTTATGTTAAAGGAAGTCCCCCCGCTGGCGGCCATCTTGGATGAAGGATCAGCTTCAAAGTAACAACACTTAGTCAGCACCTCAACAAGGAACATTCATGCCATATTTGGTTTCAATCCATTCATTGGTTCTCTAAAAGAAGACATGTGTATGTTTTGTCAATAGGGTCCTTTGTTAAACACTGTCCCCAGCTGGTGGCCATCTTGGATGATAGATCTACTACAAAAAAACAACACTTGGTCAGCACTTCATAAGGAACATTCATGCCATGTTTGGTTTCATTCCATTCAGTAGTTCTATAAAAGAAGACATTTGTATGTATTTCCCATAGGGTCCTATGTTAAACTAAGTCCCCCGCTGGCAGCCATCTTGGATGATGGATCGGCTTCAAAGTAACAACACTTGGTCAGCACCTCAAAAGGAACATTCATGCCATGTTTGGTTTCATTCCATTCAGTGGTTCTTTAAAAGAAGACATTGTATGTATTTCCTATAGGGTCCTATGTTAAACTAAGTCCCCCGCTGGCAGCCATCTTGGATGATGCATCGGCTTCAAAGTAACAACACTTGGTCAGCACCTCATAAGGAACATTCATGCCATGTTTGGTTTCATTCCATTCAGCGGTTCTCTCAAAGTCCCCCTTTGGCAGCCATCTTGGTTAATTGATTTGCTACAAAGTAACAACACTCGGTCAGTACCTCATAAGGAACATTCATGCCATGTTTGGTTTCATTCCATTCAGTGGTTCTCTAAAAAAAGACATTTGAATGTATTGTCCATAGGGTCCTATGTTATATGAAGTCCCATGAAAGTTTTATTTGAATAATAAAGAAGTATATGAAATTTTGATAGGAGGGCTCATTTGGCCTGTTGTTCAGATCAGAAGTTCCTGTTTCTGTACTATCAAACTTCCGGGAACCAGTACGCTCTAATATGCAATTAAAGGTATGTTGATTTTTTCAGCACAAGTCAGCATAAGGTACAGTTTTGACATGAAATAACTGCCACTTAATTTGAACTTAAGACAAAGTAGCCATTTATGCTTGAAATTGCAGAATTTAACATAGAAAGCAATGGGGCTATGAATTAGTGGTTTTATACCTATTACTGACAGGCATGTTAAATTCTATTTTTAGAAATCATACCCTTTACAGTGAAAATTGGTCACATTTGTTGTCAGAAATCATGTTACATTATTTTTTGTATGTAACAATTATGTTAGTGTCAAATTACAGCCCTCAAATTGCTACAATAAGGTATTTTAGCCTTTTTTGGTCATTTAGCATGCACACAGTTAAGATTTTACCTGAAATTTAAATTTTTGGATTATCTAACACTGAAACCAATGAAACTTGTATATTATGACTAGTTTATAGTATAAATATCGTTTTGGTCAAATTATCTAGTGAGTGTTCATGTTTTATTGTGTTTCTTGGTGAGTTATTTATTTCAAGGAAAATTGGTGTATACTTATATAGGAATTCCAAAATCTCACTTGAAATGCATTTTATAACCATTTTAGCAAGTTGTCTATCTTGGAGATACATGAATTGCTCTTGTTGATCCATGTTTATACATAAAAGTATGTTTTTTTTACCAAATCACTATCCTTTTCCAACATGTAGAAAAAAGGGGGGATAAAATTATCAATTATATTTTATGTTTGGACCACTGTATTTATATTCAAGGAAGAATCCCTGATAAAAATAAGACATATAGGTAAGAACACTGTTATTTGAGTAGATATTAACAAATCAGAACTGGTAAAAATTGAAAAAGTGTCATATCTGTCACTATTAGTATCCATATATAGTTTTCTTTGTTTAAAGCATATGTTACTACCAGTTCAATTTGAGCTTGAATTCAGTGATATATTGTTTTGACAAAAGCTTTATGTGTTTTTCTATGCTGGAAATAGATCATAGAAGGAAATTAAGTCAAGCAGAAGTCAATATAACAAGTTTGGTGCTGTATTACTGACAGGCATGTTAAATTCTATTTTTAGAAATCATACCCTTTACAGTGAAAATTGGTCACATTTGTTGTCAGAAATCATGTTACATTATTTTTTGTATGTAACAATTATGTTAGTGTCAAATTACAGCCCTCAAATTGCTACAATAAGGTATTTTAGCCTTTATTGGTCATTTAGCATGCACACAGTTAAGATTTTACCTGAAATTTAAATTTTTGGATTATTTAACACTGAAACCAATGAAACTTGTATATTATGACTAGTTTATAGTATAAATATCGTTTTGGTCAAATTATCTAGTGAGTGTTGATGTTTTATTGTGTTTCTTGGTGAGTTATTTATTTCAAGGAAAATTGGTGTATACTTATATAGGAATTCCAAAATCTCACTTGAAATGCATTTTATAACCATTTTAGCAAGTTGTCTATCTTGGAGATACATGAATTGCTCTTGTTGATCCATGTTTATACATAAAAGTATGTTTTTTTTACCAAATCACTATCCTTTTCCAACATGTAGAAACAAGGGGGGATAAAATTATCAATTATATTTTATGTTTGGACCACTGTATTTATATTCAAGGAAGAATCCCTGATAAAAATAAGACATATAGGTAAGAACACTGTTATTTGAGTAGATATTAACAAATCAGAAATGGTAAAAATTGAAAAAGTGTCATATCTGTCACTATTAGTATCCATATATAGTTTTCTTTGTTTAACGCATATGTTACTACCAGTCCAATTTGAGCTTGAATTCAGTGATATATTGTTTTGACAAAAGCTTTATGTGTTTTTCTATGCTAGAAATAGATCATAGAAGGAAATTAAGTCAAGCAGAAGTCAATATAACAAGTTTGGTGCTGTTATAGGTATAGAACCACTAATTCAGGCCCGGTCGGAAAGAACATACAAGAAAGTAGTACATATTTTAAACAAAATAGTTCCTACGCATAGCTGTATCTTTGTCAATAGTTTGAATATTTGGGTAGTTTTAGTATCAAATGAAAGCTTTGGGACTTGGGATCACTGTAGAACCCTAGTTGAAAGTTTTATTTGAATAATAAAGAAGTACATGAAATTTTGATAGGAGGGCTCATTTGGCCTGTTGTTCAGATCAGAAGTTCCTGTTTCTGTACTATCAAACTTCCGGGAACCAGTACGCTCTAATATGCAATTAAAGGTATGTTGATTTTTTCAGCACAAGTCAGCATAAGGTACAGTTTTGACATGAAATAACTGCCACTTAATTTGAACTTAAGACAAAGTAGCCATTTATGCTTGAAATTGCAGAATTTAACATAGAAAGCAATGGGGCTATGAATTAGTGGTTTTATACCTATTACTGACAGGCATGTTAAATTCTATTTTTAGAAATCATACCCTTTACAGTGAAAATT